ATGAAACGGCCTCTTATGGACCCTACAGGGAACACATGAAGCTGAAGCAGGTCACACAGGACATGAAGGATGAAGGATCAGCTGTGTTTAGTTAGATTTATTCTTCAGGTAATGGACCTTTAGTGGTACCAGGCATTAACATGAACAAGACATTGAAGAAAACAAGGTGGTCTGATATTTTCTTTCCATGACTGTAAATGCAGAAGCTGAATTGTTTGATGATTGTTGGATGACTGGATTGTCTGTGTGCAGTAACGGATACTCTCTGTACTGCGCCGAGCTGATGGTGAACATGAAGGACGTCCCGAGCACCGAGCGCATGGTGCTCTGCAGCAAACAGTGGAAAATGATGACGCAGAAAGAGAAGGACATGTTTCAGAAGCGCTGCGAGCAGGTCGGTGCCATCGCTCAGGATTCACCTGAAACCTGCTGCAGTGTTTGATTCTAACTTCTGTGTTTCCACCAGAAAAAGAAGCAGTACGACGTGGACCTGCAGAGGTTCCTGGAGGTCAGTCTAACTGTGATGCTGTTGGTTCTGTTTGGTTTGGAGGGAAACAGCCGGCAGGTGTGAAGTTCTAAACCTCCAGCGGGTTTGAGAGGCCTGTTATTTGTTAAAAACCTCTGAAGTGACCCAAGCTCAGATTTGGTTGTTTTTCCCTATTAAAGAGCTCATCACACGATGTGAAGGTCCTGCAGGAAGCTGAGCATCTGATGACTGCTTTTCTGTTTGTACAGTTTCAGGCTGATCATGGTGTCAGTAACCAAAAGAAAAAAAGGCCTTTCAGACCTACCAGTTATCTTTTTAAAACATCAGAGCAGAGTTCAAACCCTTGCAGTGGCTGTAAACGTGGAAACCGTTTCAGAGTTCTGGTGGTGTTCTGGTTCCACAGAGCTGAAGCTGTCTGAGCTCAGAGGGTTAAACGCAGGTGAGACATTTAAAAGAAGAGCTGCAGAATTTAAACAGGATGTTTTTTCTCAGAGTCTTCCAGAAGAGGAGCGAGACCGAGTCCTGACGGAGGAGAAACTGGGCGGAGCCAAACTGTCTGTGGGCGTGGCCTCCAGCCCACACAGAGCCAAGTCTCCGTCTGTTAAGGTCTGGCCAGCCTCCTCCTCCTGTCTCTGTGTTCAGCTGTCACTCCGCCCTGACTAACACGCTGTCATCCCAGGAGCGCTGTCGGGAGGCGGAGCCAGAGCCGTGGGTACCTGCCGGGCTGCCGAAGGAGAGGCGGGACGGGAAGAAGACGGCAAAGCTCCCAGAAACACCGAAAACAGCCGAAGAGATGTGGCAGCACAGCGTGATCGGAGACTACCTGGCGAAATACAGAGTGAGCGCCACGCTAAAGTTAGCAGGATGCTGTACTGAGTGTGATTAGCTGTAAACTGTGGCAGGGTTCTTGCCTCCGTCAACCCGTTTCTGATCATGTGATTCGCCGAGCAGAGCGACCGCAGGAAGGCGCAGGCGGCGATGGAGGCGGCCTGGAAGTCGATGGAGAAGAAGGAGAAGATTCCTTGGATAAAGAAGGCGGCGGAGGACCAGAAGCGTTACGAGGTTCAGTACCGGCCTGTGGTCAGTGAGCCACGCCCCCAGACTGACCCGTCCACCGACATGTGGGCCCTCCCATCAGACATGAACCCCTCCCGTCTAACAGTGACTCCTCCCACTCTGACTGTAACTGACCAACAGACTCCTCCTCCCTGTTACTGGCCCCGCCCCATGCTTTCTGACCCCTCCCCTTCGGACTATGTTCTGTGCTGATTGGTTGGTTGTTCTGTGCAGTCCTGACAGTGTTTGTCCTGCAGAGGGAGCTGTTGGAGATGAGGACTCCTGCGGCAGGTCAGAGGAAGCCCAAGTTTGATGGAGAACCAAAGAAACCTCCAGTGTGAGTCCAACTGTTGGAGTTTAACTTCAGCACATCCTTAGCGATCATGATGATGATGATGATGATGATGATGA